AAAATTATTGGTACTCAGGGCTTGCAACTGCATTAAATATTATTATCATTAACATTGGACTCATATAATCTACTGTATCTCAAAGCCATTCGAGCTGGTACTTTGGCTAGCATGACATAAACGTAGAGAGGTTTGGCACAGGTGTTGAGTGACTTTTTATAAGTTCTGTCAAATGTGCTAACATAGATAAGCAGGCATCCGGACCGACCATTATTAAATAGTAGTCATCTACGTATATTTCACTTCTCTCACATTAACACCTGCCGAAATATTGGAATCTTGATTCAAAAAGTTCTGACGAAGACTTTAAGACATAGACCTGATATTTTGTATTGTCGCAGGTCACATTCTCACAGAGATAGTATGCGAAAGATGTCGAAAACTCATTTATTTATGAAATCGCAAGTATGTATAATGAATGCTATTGGCAGAAAACTAGGTCAAAATGTGGGGAGTAGACAACAGCATTTAGTCCGATAAGCAGGGGGTTCTTGTACCACAAACCCTCACGTTTCTGTTGCAATGGATCCGGAATCTATCGCTAGGAGATTAGATGAAGCACAAAAATTAAATATTAAACGTGACAGCTAGCCAGTATAACCTAATCTAACCCAACCGAAGCTACCTACCGTCTCATCCTAAGCTGAAACTGTGGTGTGGAGTGGTAATTAAGAACAGAATGAAACCTTTTACTAGTAGTTTTGAATAATCACCTTCAGAGATGGCTGCCGTGAAGATACCTCCACTCTCGGTGATTAGTAAGTGCCTTAACAAATTTAAAATGTAAATATTTAAATTCTTAAAACTTTTCATAAATTTAATAATTTAAGAAGCCACAGAGTAACCAACGTCACAATCCTTTCATATTTAATTTTGCATTGTATATTTAGTTTACTTTGTTTTGTTTTTTATTACACCCCGAAGGCTTTCAAATCTTCTTGCGCCTGGTTAAACGGTAAATGAGTATAAACTGGGTTGTTGACTGTCGCAGTGTCGCAATGTTGGCGCATCCGGTGCACTCATTCACATTATAATTGCCGTGAAATTGTTGTGACAAACAAATGGCGACAGCAGCAGCTGACGTTGCAAGTAAAAGATAAGCAAATAACAACAACACAATAGCAATGCAAGTGAAACAAACGGTTGTTGGGGCCGCATATTAGCGCCAAAGGTATGGCCATTTGCCACTTGCCACTCACTTTCCACTCATAATTCCTTTTGCTTCGTCCTCCATCTGTCGCCGGTCGGACTTATCACATGCTCTTTACTTTCTATTTACTTTTTTTTATGACTGTTACTCCATGCAGATACGATTTTTACTGCAATGTTACTGTTTTGCTAGAATTTTCTTTTGTTTATGTCACAGTTTGTATATTAAATTGCGGTACAAAAAGCGTTGTGGGGTTAGTTGATATAGCAATACCTTTAGTAGAAATATTCTTATCTGAAAAATCGTATCTTTTCTTTTCCACATATTAATAACGAATGCTTTTGGGTATATGACTAATAAAAACTTTGAATATAAAAGCAGTTTTTAAGGGAAGCTTGCACTAAAACAATTTTTTATTTACAGAATAATGCTTTAAGTGAAATCTTAGTGCATAAAATCGGTTATTGGACAGACTAATGACTTAAGTCAAAGCTTATAGCAGAAAATCAGTTCTCTGGTGAAACTTTCACACATAATAAAATATTTATTATTGTATAGACTAATGGCTTAAGTGAAAGCTTAGAATATAAAAGCAGTGTTTCAGTAAAGGCTTCACGCATAACGAAAACTTTTTTGCACAGACTAATAACTTAAGCGCAAGCTTTGAGTATATAACAAGTTTTTGCGGGAAGCTTTCATACATAACGAAAGCTTTTTTGTACTAATAGCTTAATCGAAAGCTTACAGTACAAAAGCTTAATTTCTGAAGATTACAACAGCAACTTGACGAGTTTTATGAACACTGTTAGGGATCCCTTTTGGATTTTAAGGCAGTAATATGAGATAGAGATTTGATCTACTTAATATATATTCTTCTCAAGATGTAACAATGAATTACAGTCAAATAGTCTTGGAAATGTATAGTTTTCGAATAGCCCTTTATATTTCCATTCATCAACCACAAAAGTAGGGTACATCAACAATATGTAGACCAAGCACATTTAAAGCTTCTTCGTTGCAATTGTATGTTTTTATTTTAAACCCTTTCTCATAGTCTTCGGCTATTTAATGATTTCCCTCCTGACTTTTTTTTTCTATTTCTATTTCACTCTCAGAAATCCCTGCCACCATTACATTCCCGCGCCAAGTGTTTTTGTTGCGCATAAGTATTTGTCGGCACCGCAGCTGCATTGCTTATGAAGGCGCACAATTTTAATTGCATTTAACGTCATTTGAATGCCGCATTTGCCATTGAAAATCGGTCGCCGGAGGCAGCCACACCTGTACGCTGCAGGACAAAGGCAAAGGGCTTCTACACCACACGACATTTGTATGAGGAATTGCAACTGTCTGCTGTAGCGAACCAGCCAGCCAACCAGCCAACACCCTAAGGACCAACTGTCAGTATGCACCAACACGTCGGACATAACGGCATACATATAAACACGCATAGCTATGCATAGCACGTGTATAACCCCCGGACTGTTTATTGTGCGGAGTACGTTGTCCCTTCGTAGAAGCTCCGAGGCATCAGCGTGCTCCGACAACTTTAAATGGGCAACACTACGTGCCGCATTGTTGGCATTTAGCAGCCTTTTAAGCGGAGAAGGTGGGTGGCTACCATAAAGCAAGCGGTGAAAACGAGTAAGAGTAAAAGTGTGCGCGGGAGACGTACCAGCGCTTGAGTGAATAGGAATTTTTGAGCTGAGTTCGTAGTGCTGAGTCTGTCGCTTCAGCTGTTGGCGCTGATGCGGGGGGTAGGAAGCACAAAAGACGGGCATTATCAGTTGAAAACGGAAAAAATTATAAATCATAGCTTAATTTTCCTGTTTCCGTTTAATGCCGTAAATGAGTTTCGGTTTCATTTGCGTTTGAATTTTTCGCCAGCCGACAGACGACTGTATACAGTTGTAAATAATTATATATATTTTTATATAACCAAGTACATTAATATGCGCACAATATGGTAATAATCTGTCTGCCTTTGACATTTTCTACACTTCTCTCTCATTTTCACATCTCTTTTACGCTCCTTTACTTCCGGTTTTTACCGCCATCGTTTTCTTAATGCAATTATGAAAAGCTATACCCCTCTCCTCGTACTGCGTGTGCAATGTAATGCGGAAAAAAGTGTGTCTGCCGCGTTTGTTATTACTCTCATTTGATATTTTAACGGGTCTGCACGTCAGTTTTTTTCATTGTTGTTGTTAGTATTATTAAGAATTATGTTGCAAAGAAAAAATATTATAATAATATAATAATGACAAAGTAAAAAGCGTGAGTTGGTCCTTTAATCATCGTTTTTTTTCACGTGACATTTACGCAAAAGTGAAATTAAGTCTGCGCTTTTAGACATCAGAGATGTAAATATTAAATAGAGAGGGTTGCTTTGCTCGGAAGATAAAAAATCTCATTATAGTGTTTATTTTAAATCGGGATTTATTTCTTTGTTAAGACATTTCTTTTTGTGTATTTTATTCGTGAAGTTCTCGTATTTAAATAAGCTTCTGAGCATATTTGCGCCAAGTCTAGAATATGAGAAAAGCTTAAAAATTTCGAAAACTTGAAGGAAACTAAAAGAAATGCATGATGGAAATTTGTTTATGTATTTAAAAGAGCAAGCAATTAAGAATAAAATAAAAGCAAAGGTTAAGGGGCAAACCTTGTGTCTTTAAAAACACGTTTTGCATATGTCGATAGGTGATACCCTACTTATACTTAAAATGGGAACTACTGGAATAAGTTTTTGAGTTACAGCCTTCTAAAGTGTAGCCACTCAGTCCAAACTTTTATATTTAAAGTTTATTTAAACGTGCTTTTCTCTTTTTACTCATGGCATCTATATTCGTTCTCATGAGAAATTGTTAACAATTCTCCCTAGATGCGATAACAACTTAACCTAGGCTAAATTAGGCTACTTTTTTATGAAATAAGATTTCTTGAAGGATAGCTGGCACAACATCTCTCATCCCCCGGTTTCCACTCTTTAGTGTGGTCTTGTTACCTATTTTAAGGCATAGGATAACTGATGCTATATTATTTGCAGCTTTTTCCTTCCCAGTTCTTATGAACGTGGCAATATCAAGGAATGTTTCATTAATGATTTCCACAAAAGTTTGAAAGAACATTTCTGAAGTATTTAAAATAACCTTTCCGAAGCAATTGCGAAGTCTAAGAGTTTTCAAAGTCGAAGTTCAGCTAAGCTAAATAATTCAAACATAAGTGGCACACCTTGAAAATGCATAAAATCAATTAAATTAATAGAATAATTAATAATTTTAAGTGAATTATTGATTGCGTTTTTTTTATATGTGCCAGTGTTCTCAGGAACATAAATTTTGCTTTTTGTTATGCACAAAGACTTAAGCTTTTTTCAAAGAACCTTTTGTTTGAAAAACTTTCTCAACTAAAAAACATGAAAATACACATACTATACGCTGCAACTAAGCATACTAACCTCAAACTTTACAACAACTACTAACATCCTTTTCTTCCATTAATACATTTTCACACGATGCTATAGACTTGTAATTTCAACATGCCCCCTGACGAATTAGTTAAGCGAGCTTTAGTGCTGAGATATTTGTAGTCACTTTACGGTGTCTTTAGTAGCATTAACCGGATTTGTCTTCAAGGAAATTCGAATCCAAAACTATTATTTTATATTTTTTTTAATAACATTAATATGTGTCATTTATGTACCTACTTATATGTATGATCTGAAGTACTTACGTTTTAACAAATTTCCTTCCATGGACATGTCATATATTTCCTATAGGGTTCTAACTTTTTCATACCAAAATCCTTTGCCTTATAAATCATCACTGAGCCAAAGTTCAGATCAGAAAGTTCTGACAGAATAAACGGAAAAGACGTGTTTTCAGCGCAAAAATTTTGGATCACTGTTTTAAAGGTTCTAATTTTTTTAATAATTCATTGTAATATTTAACACGATTTTCTCTTCGTGTTCGTGGTTATTACTTTTTATTCTTTTTTCCTTTTTTTGACTTTTGCCCATCAAGTTTTTTCGAGATTCTGACACTGGTTACTATTCGATAGGCTAGGATTAGACTCAAGCAGTGAAATAATAAAAAAAATTAGACATAATGAGGATTTATGTCATGCGAAATCATGACAACCCAAACAACAACAAACAAGGGCCTTCTTCGAGACATTGAAATACAGACTGTTAACAGTGAATACTTTTTCGTAAAAGTAGAATTTACCAGTAATTTTTTTCTTGTAAAATATAAAGCGATTTTTGTGCAAAAATGTAACAACAATGAAAGGTAAAATTTTCAAATGCGGATAAAAGAAGTTCGAACAAGTCGTGTCGAACATTTCTACGGTACGAAATATTGGAAAGTATAACAGTACATCTGCTGACCCGACTGAGACGCAATATACGCTTACAATACTATATGGTCACTAGAGCGTTTTAGTCTAGTATTGTACGTTAAGTATCGTGGGTCCACTTATCGAATTTATATTACGCCTACCATTGACTCATAAAATTTTTGTTCAAAACCGACATGCAGAAATTCAGCGATTTCTTATACGGACGTGTGCAAAGTGACTGCGATACAAATAAACCATTCAAAGTCCTACTTTACTTCTATGCCCTGATCGGTATAAAGGTGAAACCACATGGCTTCTTGCCCACAATGCATATGGTGTTCACTTCGATTGCGTACGCTTTTACGCCATTTCTATCTATTGTGGGCTTCTTACGGTTCCAGAAAACAGCAACTGTAACAGAGTCTCTTTCAGCTTTACAAGCATTTATCAATGCTGTATTTGCCTCAGCAAAGTCATTCGCGGTGTTGGTGAGCTTTAAGCGTTTTCAAAAAGTCGAGCCGATAATGAAAAGTTTAGATGAACGCTATAATATGCCACAAGAGCGTCAGCAAATAACTAACTGTGTTGCAGCTTGTACGCGCTTATATGCCTCCATGGGATTAATCTATTACTTATATGGGATTCTTTGTGTTATAACATCGTTAACATTGCATAAGCAACCATTTGGTGGTTGGTATCCCTTTCTCGATTTGATTACCAATCCAACGGTACATTTCTATTCATGTTTGACATTCGAATCGTGTTATTTGTATTTCTTACTGACGGCACAATACTTGCATGATATGTACCCCACTTTATATATGCGAACAATACGCACACACATACAATTGCTAAGAGGACGTATCAGCCGATTAGGTGTGGACCCCGACAAGAGCGATGATGAGAACAACCAAGAATTGATCGACTGTATTGCTACGCATCAGCAAATATTACAGTGAGTTAATAAAATATTTCAATTTTTTCAATTAGTAGCAGTGCTTAAAGCTTAACCACAAACTGGAGTTTAACCCGAAAGTGTTTAAGAAACTCTGAGATTACTATGTTGACATTTTTGTGACGTTCTTTTTTACGAGTTAACAAAATGTCATAATGTACGTAAAAATTTAGCCACAAACTCGAGTTTAACTGTCAAGTGTTTAAGAAACTCTGATTTCACTTTGACATTATTTTTAATGAGTTACAGAATCATAACGTACGTGTAAGTTTAACCATAAACTCGAGTTTAATGTTAAGTTTTTAAGAAACTGAGTTTAATTTGACATTTTTATGACATTATTTTTGACGAGTTGAAGAAAAATCTGTATATTTTAAACTCGTAGTTTTTGAGTAGTATTAAACAGCTAAACACAATTCATTTTATTTTTTTCTTTGTTTTTCACTTCACAGGGTGGTGGACATGGTCGGCTCAGTTTGTTCACCAACCATTTTTATGCAATTTGCTTGTGTTGCTCTTGTACATTGCGTTTGTATGGTTAACATTTTCATATTCGCCGATACGCTTAATAGGATCATTACGATATGGTACTATCTTATGGTTGCAACACAAATCTTACCCACCTGCTATGAAGCATCGACGCTTGCGATGGAAAGCACTAAATTGCCCGTCTCAATATTTCACTGCAATTGGCTGGCTTTGGATAAGCGTGGCCGGAAGTTGATTCTCTTCTTTATGCAGCACTCTCAAAAGGAAGTTGCTTTTATTGCAATGCAATTGTTCCAAATCAATATGCGAACATATTTATCGGTAAGTTAACCAACGATAATATGAGTAGTCTATTTTTTATAATTATTTTTTATAAATGAACTTTTTCTTAGATTGCAAAATTTTCATTTACATTATACACATTTGCGAATGAGATGGGATTCGGGCAGAATATAAAAGAATTCGTAGAATAAAAAGGAACAAAATAATAATAGTGGTGAAGCGCTGTAAGGCAGCCGAATTTCGAAATAGACCCTTGAAGTTGCATTTGGAAAGTGGAAGTGTGATCTATCAAAGTACAACATTATGGATAAAAATTAAATTTAGTTTTGCACCACTTTTTCAGCAATCACTCCCTTTTATCATTAACTAAATATTTAGTGAGTAGAAAATAAAGTTTCTAAATAGTAATTGACGTTAGCGCTGTGATGTTGTTTATAAAAAAGTAATGAATTGTAGATGATTTTTTTTTATTAGATGAGTAAATCCATTGAAATTTTAAATAAATATGATCTAAAATTTTTAAAAGAAAAAATCTTGAAATATCAAATAAATATATAGACCGATTTTATCAAGTTTCGGTGTCAAATTAGGATAGCCTTATTCCTAAGTTCTGGTAAATTATTTAAATTCTAATTTTTTCTACACTTTTTGAAGCATCTACCAAATGGTAGAAATATGCTCGAAAATTAGTCGTAACGCAACTATAAAACAGTTTTTAAACTGCTCGGAATAAGGATCGATCCGATAGTTTGGTTCTAGAGTGGATTTCTAAATCGAACAATTTATTATCAAAGAACCACTAACCAGCCTTAATCAACGCAATCAAAGAACCTGCCTTAAATCGGTTCGAGATTTATAGCAATATGAAGAATTTCTTAGGAGTAGCTCGAAAAAATTAACAAATTAATTTTCATGCCCTGAATAGGGTGTTTGAAATCGGCCGCGAAACTTTTAACACTCAGAAAGAATCGTCGGAGACCCTATAAAGTGTATACATAATCAGCATTACGTGTCGCATTATCAATGTTCTTATCTGTATCAATTTTTGAGATATCAATCTAAAATTGTTTAAAGGTGATTTTATCTCCAAGAAGCTTCCCATTTATTGGAACGGCCGATATCAAACCATTATAGCATATAGCCGCCATAAAAGCTGACCGATCAAAATCGAGTTCCGAATTTTGGCATAAAATATTATCCAAGGCAGTGTTACAATATTCGGACTAGTATCGCACAACTATTGTATAACTCACCGATAAAATCAAGATAAAGATCTTTTCAAGGGCATTATCGATTCGTTGTAGCGAAGTTAAGGACTTTACCTGTTTATTTTGATGTTTTGCAATAGCTTTATTGCTTTTTTCAAGAGAAAAACTTGTCCAGACTCATATACGGTTTCAGAATATTATTTCGCTCTGTTTAACTTTATTGTCTATGTTTTTAAATTATTGAACGTTAGAGAAGAGCCAAATTATTAAGGGGTTATAGGGGTTGCACGGCTTAAAAAAAAATTATCGCCTTATTTAATTCTATAACATATCTAGAATATTGTCCTAAATTCTCAAGTTGATTCCAGTAATAGTTTGGAGATACAGCTTTGAAAAATTGTGCGCTCGAGATATAGTCACTTAAAACTTTTAACGCGTCTTTCTCGAAACTGTGTTTTCAAAGTCGGTTGTCAAGATTTCTCACGAACTACTCAATTTACAAGGTTTTGCCGCGGAGGTTTTTTTTTTTTTGTTCAATTACAACTATTTAAAAAACTAAAAACATCAAGAAATTTTCACCAAAATTTGCGTGTTTGTGTTGTGTCTGCCCAAAACACAATTTTCACTTTATTTGTTTTATCTCAATCCTTATACTTATTTAATGGTCCTAGTTCAAACACCTAGTTTTTTCTTTTTACTTTTGATGATCCTGTCAGAAGTACTGCTGTCAACGCGAAAGCACCTTTTATCCGAGGGACTGCCAAAAATGACGTTGTAATGACCGAGTTTTGAATATTTTCCGTAGAAAATTTCACAAAATCTGTATCGAATATGTAACTTCGGAATAGTAAAAAGTTGGAATAAAATATTTCATTTTTTATATGAAAAAAAAATTATTACAAATAGGACGTCTTTTGCTTGACGAAATATATGTAACCCCTCAATTCCAAAAGTATTCTTCTAAGGAAATGTATAAATATCAAATTTACAAAACTTAACAATAGGAGAAATAGCATATCCTACTACTTGACCGATTTAAATCAAAAAAATAAATAAATAAGTGCAAATTTTATCCACTTTCCAGAGAGTGACAAGAATACCGCCTAATAAGTGAGGATTCTTATGGAGTAAAATTAATGGCAAAGATAGAAGCATTGTCCGCTAGTTGGCTGAGATAATATATGGACAATTTTCAAAAATGACATTTCGTACTAAAAAAACTTTTGTTTTGTGAAAGTTTTAACAGTTTTGTGATTGGTTGATTCCATTTTATTTGAGCGCGCGTCAAAGATGGATACTAGCAAAGAGAAAATAGCTATATTTTGCATCATGCTCTGGAAGACCAATTATCGAAAAAATCGATCAAATAATGGAAATCGCCGTGTCAACATTAATTACGATTGTCCAGGGCCTAAATATATATAAAATAATAGATTTATTTTTACTTTTTTTTGGTGAGTTTTCATTTTACTTTATTATATTTATTATATTTTCAAGTAATTTCCGCTGAACATGCAAACATTGAGTAAAAATGTTGTAAGTCAACAAATGAAACTTAAGGCGCACAATAAACGATGAAAAAGGCAAAAAGAGTTTACACACACCCACAGATACATGTATGCCTAAACCATTTCAGGAGCTTACGTAACAGCACAAGGGTCTATGCCTCGATGGGTGTATATGGGTGCATATGTGCATGTGTTTGCTAGCAGGCAACTTAACACAGAGCTGCACTGCACATTGATGCTTGTTAAAATACACGGAAAAATTTGTTATAAGCCAAAGTAAGAGACCAAAAAGTATCGAAGACACACAACAACATACAATGATGACGCTGATCAGAACAAGAACAAGAACGGCGAAGAACACGAGGAAGACGACGACAATGATGTCAATGTTGCAAACCCACTCTGCCAGCCGGCGGTGCAAGAAATCACAAAACTTTGCTCAATAAATAAAAGCTTTTGCTTTTTTCCACCATTGTTGTTATTGTTGTTGCTGCGGCATATACCAGCCACAAAATGCACCATAATGCACTCGACACCGGTGGCATTGTTGGCTGCAGCAGCAGCAGCAACAGCAGGTCGGTTGCAACTTGTAAGTGTAATACGAGTTACTTGTAAGTTGCAACTACAAATGCCCCGAGCACGAGCACGAGAAAGAACACAGAAACTAGCATCTTTGCTGCTCCCATGAGCAATGCACCACTACACGCTGCTATTTCCTACTCAAACTTCGGTGCGATTTTTTTTTTCCTGTGCCTCGCCGCATAAATAATGAAAACTTTATAAAAGCCGGAAATAATGCACTTACAAGAAAGTTTTGTGCTCACAAAGAGGAAGGGTGAAGAAAAAGGCATCAAAAGTGTATGGAAAAGTCGAGAAAAAATTGCTACTGAAAAAAATTGTCTACTTAAGCGAAATACATAAAAAATATTGTCTACGAAAGCAAAGTATTTGTAAAAGCTAACTTTTGAACGCTGGCAACATGTTGCACGGAGTATTATAGTTTTGTATAACTAACGGTTGTTTGTAACATTTTGAATTTATCGAGTTGGATATAGAAAATTTATTAGAATAACGACTTCGATTGCCGAATAATTTTCTCTCCGTCCGTCCAAATCGAACTATTGCCACGCCCATTAAGTAGCGTTAATCAAAAATCATAAGTTACTATAACTGGATAGAGAAGGCCACTTATTCTACAAGAAACGGTAAACGTATTACCAAATTTTGAAAATTTTTGAAATGTGGGCGTGGCACCGCCCTCTAATAGGTTTAGTGGATATATCTCGCAAGCTACTAATGATGTGCCAGCCAAATCAGATGGTAAACATTTTGTTAGCTATTTCATGCTACTAAGGGTATAACCACGCCCACGACTCTAATAACGGTAAATTGTATAAAGTTTAATACCAGCAAAGTGAAGAACCACCACAGAGATAATACAGTAGTCTTACCGGCAGATCAGTTCAAATATTGTGCAATTGACTGCGCCCAATTTTAGGCGAAATTTCAAATCTTCACCAATTTGAACGACCTAGGTTTGTAGGAATGTAGAAATTGTTGGAAATGAAATACAGTCACCTCTACTTGCCACAGGACTACATTTCCAAAAACATTACCTTTTTCTATTCACTGCGGATAACTGAAGCATCAACAAAGTCATATAAAACATCGTTCACAAGTCACACTCCTAATAACGTCGATCCCAAAAATTATCGAACTGCTCCATACATTCTACTAAACACTTATAACAATTTTTGGATCACGATCCGATCGCCATTGATTTATACAAATATTGCGATTATCGAATGTTCGACTACACCCGAACTTAGCACTCCCTTACATTATTTTCTGTGCATACATTTCTTTTTTATATCCATTTTTTGTTTATTTACTCCTGTCAACTTTGAAGTGTTAAAGTTGCAACTTCTTTTGCCGTAGTCTATCAGTGCATAGACTTGCATCGAGTCGTCTTTCAATTTCGACATCAACGCAGCTTTATTGACAGGTCTTGAACCTCAAATGCTGCTCGTGTATCTTAACTTTTCTGCAAGTTAAAACTTTTTATAACTGTAGCCTTGTTTATCGTCGTAAAGCCTCATTGTGCGATTTGTTTATTTAATGGCTACAACAACTCTTAGTTGAGCTTTTGAGCAAAGTGCAGTTTTGTTTAACACTTTGCCGCAGCCTATAAGAAGTAGTGATTAAAAATATAAAAAACATTATGACACAATTTGATTTTTGATGCTCTGCTTACTTGCATTCTGAATTTAGCCTATAGGATATTAATTTAAGCGGTACAGGTTTACTGAACTGTTCAATAGAAAAACAAATAAGAAAATTAAATTAAGCGAAAAAAAACATTTAACCCATAACAATTTTAGCGAAGTATTGTTTGGTTAGCAAAGGAAACATAACTGACAACATAAAAATTTGAAATTCTGTTAGTAAAAAATATTAGTTATATTTCTGAAATCTACGTGCTAAGGCTATATAATAATTGTCATAAATTAATTTCTAAAGAAGCTTCAGAAACTTAATTTCGTAATTTCTGCAAAACTTTTCAAAACCCCTTTTTAAGTTTTTTGTAACAGAATTTTTATAAGATAATTAATTACTCAGTTTTCTGCTCTTAAAAATTGAAATCATGCATTAAATTGTAAGTTCCTGCTTTTCTGTCAAATAGGTTTTTCTGTGCCAGTTATTTGAAATCAGTTTTATATTTTAATAGTAACTTTCAGTAAAAATAAAGGAGTACTATACCTGCGTACTATATTGAATTTTTCAGATTCAAACTAAAACACTTTTTTTGCTTTCAA